TTTACTGCCCCCCCCCTTTTTTTTCGTAGTTACATTTCCTACAGTACTGTATTTACTGCCCCCCCCCTTTTTTTTTGGTCTCTGCTGCTGCCTGATTGCATATTTCTGGTTCCAAATGAGGTGGGTGGTTGACTGGTCGGTTCGTAACTCCCAGGTTCTACTGTAATTTTTTTATTTTTAAAGTGATGTATAAAAAGTCTCACTCAAGTATATATTATATGGCCCCATTCCAGTACATCTCAGTTCTCAAATAAGAATCAGTATTTATAGGGGTACACACAGACAGAGCAAGGGAGTTAGATTTATTTTTCATACTGTAGTAGTACCAGAAGTGCACCAGGCACTTTCAACCGGGCGTTTTTGTTCTCATTATAAAATAAACAAACTAATTTAAGCTACAAGACTATATTACTCTTCCACTTCTAAAGAGAAGGCACCTTTCAAGTCACAGCAACACTGTAATGGCCCTATACATCAATAAAGTTTGTACCACACAAAACCATTGCTAAAAGATTTTTTTAAAATGTTTTATATATATAGAAACTTTATTTACTTTAGATCATGAAAGGTTAGCTTGTCCCATTTTCCGTTTTCAGAATTTACTTTAGAATCTGATTTTGTAATACTGTACTAAGAATAATTCCTAACTTATCTATTTTAGAAAGCATTCTGATATTAATTGTATCTTCAACTTGCGTCACTCTTACTGCTATTCAGTGGGTAGCAAAAAAAGATAGCATAAGTGCACAGATTTTCTCCAGCCAATGCTCTGTATTTTTATAGCTGACAAAAAAATAAGTGACGCTTGTTGCTTTTGCAATTGTGAGCAGAGTTCAGCTTTATTTGTAGAGCAAACTACATCAGCAAACTGGTGGAGGAAGGCTATCATATTTCATCTTACATTGTTTTGTTTTACTTTCTACTGTCTCAAAAATATTTAACAATTCAAAAAATTCCCACAGGAAAATAAATCCTATTCTGTCTCACAAGATAAACAGGAAAAAGGAGCTAAGGGATAAAGTGGAGCTTTTTTCTCTGATGATTTCTTCTATGTAAATTTCCTAGGGCTTTTCTACACAAACACTTAGTGTGGGGCAAGCTGGAGTGTAAATCTACCCCACACCAGCCTGCCATAGACTAAGGGTCTGTGTGGACCCTGCTGCTGCACACTAAATGTTCCCTAGTACTCTTTGATCTAACGGTCCCATTTCAAACAGGGTAGATTAAAGTACACTAGAGAACTATTAGTGCAGGGCAGCAGGTTTCACATGAACACAGTGCACTGCAGGGTATTGCAGTGTACAGTGGAGTCGCATCTTACGTGGGGGCTTAGGTTCTAAAGTCAGCGTGTAAGGAGAAAATTGCATATAGTCAAAATTACCCTTGAAAATCCTTTAAATTGCCCATAAAGTATAGTATACTGTACATACAACCCTGTACAGTAATATGTATAATGTATACAGTAATGTACAGTATATAATAAAGAGTACATATGCAAAATATAATTTGACAGTATTGTATTTTTAATTACAGGGTGTAATTACAGGGGGTGGTCGGGGCTTGATGTCGATCCAGGAGACAGAGGTGATGGAGACCTTGGGTGATGGAGAACGAGTCGTAGACGAAGTGGTTCAGCTCGAGAAGTTAATTGCGTAAGCTCAGCTCCTGCTGGTTGTTTTTCCTTGAAAAACATGGTGATTGGCAACTGTTGCTGTTGTCTCTCGAGCTGCTCAAACATTTCTTGATACGGTCTCAAATCATCTGTAATGCTATGTGTGATTTTGAGGCTTCGTTCCATAGAGGGATCGTATTCAGAAATTAAATCATTCAAGTATTTCGCTGCTTGAAACACTTCAGCAAATTTATGAAGATTCCAACTTGCTGGCTCTTCCTGTTCGTTGTCATCATCGTCGTCTTCTGTGGACGATTTTATCAGTTCCTTTAACTCTTCGTTAGTCAATGTTTCTCTATGGCTCTCAATTAATTCTTCAATTTCTTCCTCAAGGATGTCGACAAAGCCATCACCACTCACTTGCCTGGCCACCTGAACAATGCGTTTCACTTCTTTTTTAATGGTCGGGAAACCCTTAAAATCATTCACACATTCTTACCATAGATTTCGCCAACATGCATTGACTGTTTCAGGCTTGATTGCAGCCACTGCCTGTTTAATATAAGTGATGTAATCGGCAATGTTAAAGGACTTCCAACACTCCATCACATTAAGATTGGGATCAGCATTTATAGCGCTACATATCCATGTGAACGTAAGCCTCGTGTACATGGCCTTGAAACATTGAATCATGCCTTGGTCGAGAGGTTGGAGGTGGTATTGGAGGGGCGGGGGGGGGGGGAAGACAACTTCAACGTTGTTGTGTGCAAACTGGTGTGCCGCAGGGTGGCTAGGAGCATTGTCTACGATCAGCAACACTTTAAAGTCAAGTCCTTTCTCTTCGAGGTACCGCTTGACCTCTGGAATGAAACACTTATGGAACCAATCCAGAAATAATGCTGCTGTCACCCAAGCCTTTTTATTTGATTGCCAGAACACAGGCAGGAGATTTTTGTTCTTGCCTTTTAGGGCATGGGGATTTGCAGCCCTGTAGAGCAAGCCCGGCTTTATTAAATGCTTTTATTAAATGGCTTGTCTTTCTGATTTCAAAATGTAAGTGCGGTTGGGCATTTTTTTCCAAAAGAGCCCAGTCTCGACAGTATTAAAAACTTGTTCCGGAAGATAGCCCTTTTCTTCTATGATTTTCTTTAATTGTTCGGAGTAGGCTTTTGCTGCCTCTTCATTGGCAGATGCAGCTTCACCAGTAGTCTGCACGTTTTTGAGGTTGAAGCAGTTCCTAAAACTGTTAAGCCAACCTTGGCTGGCTTTGAATTCCTTCTCATCAGAAGGCTGTCCCTCTTCGGCAGGAGGTTTGAACAGCACATAGAGGCTAAGAGCCTTTTCTCGCAATGTGTTGCCATCGATAGGCACACGTTTACGGTTCATGTCTTCCAGCCATAAGTTTAATGCCTTTTCAGTCTTCACTAAAGTCTTATCACGCACCTGGCTCGTCACCTTAGCAGTTATTGGAGCACTTGATGCCACGGCTTGACGAATTTCTCTCTCTCAAATCTTGATGGCATGGATGCTAGATTCATTGTGGCCATATTTACGCACCACGTTGGAGACCAACATACCGTCTCTCAATAAGTCCAACACAGTCAGTTTTTCCTCCAGCATTGGAACAGGTCGCTATTTCTTTGGTTGAGCACCAGATGAAGTAGTTGGCTTGTGTTTAGGGACCATGTTGTACGAAAAATACGTATCTTTAAACACTAGAATCACACTCAGCGTGGCTAGATGATCATACTATGAGAGGCACACGGGAACTGAGACCGACTGAGGGAACAGCAGATTCACGTCTCCCATCTCACGCTCACTCTGGGGCATATGCTCATTGGGTGGAATCGCTCACACTATTTACAGGTATCTTGTTGTTTTTCTTTTTTTTGCCGAGTGCTTATAGTTGAATTTGCATAAGTTAAATGCGCGTATGATGTGACTCACCTGTACATTTGTACTCCAGCAAATAATATGTTCATATAGACAAGCCCCAAACGCTGCTGGATTGCCTGTGTTGTTTTTTTTTTTTTTTTTAAACTGTCAGGTTCTCAAATGCACTCATAATGAAGGGTCGGCAATCACTGCCCTAGTACACAGAGAAGGTGTTCTTTCCCTCTTGTATCCTTGAGTACAAATACCAAGAAGGAACAACTGGCCATTTCCCCATTGCCTGAAGTCAGGGGGTTGGTTTTAGGCACTGGGATTTGCCCACCTGTGATGAGCCAGATACTCCATTATCATCTTCCATGGATGTATCACACTTCCTCTAAATTAAACATCTGTACTAGCCACTGTAAGAGAGGATACTGAACTGGATGCACTATCATGTGACCTAATATGGCAGATCCTATGTTCCTAAAATATCCCTTCAAACATTCGTTTTCTTCACTGAGATTGGTGTGTCATTATAGCGTCCTCTACTGGCACTGGCTCCCCCTCCCCTCCCCCCGTAAACAAATTCTGCAAGATATATTTTAAAAGAAAACTGCTAACTCTTACAAACAAAATAAAACAGACAAATAATTGAATGGCCAAGAGTGTAACATAAATTAAATGCTATTTATGCGTACACTATACATATTACTGTACAGGGTTGTATATACGAAACCATGTACAGTATACTATACTTTATGGGCGATTTAAGGGTATTTTTTTTTTTTTTTTTTTTTTTTTTTTTTTTTTAAA